ACAGAACAAAGCTTAAGGACATTTTGACTGAGCCAAATGAAGAATTACAGTGTAAACTGTAGTTGTACTTCCACGATCTCTTAAATAACATCAATATTGTAATTGTTACATATATCCTGCACAAATTATCTCGTCGGTAATCTTATTATTATTATTATTATTATTATTATCAGAGATTCTTGCTGCTATCAGCTTGCGAATTTTCACATAAATTCACCCAACGACGAAACGAAAGTATGCTTGTCGTTGAACTAACCTTTACTCGGCGTCCTTGCGATACAAAAGGAACCAGGACCGTATTTTTTATTTTAGCTATAGCAAATATTGCCTGTATATGTTGCAATGTTAGCTCAAATTCAATTTAGAAGTTCTACCGCACTGTTCATATCCGCGTCATTACAGATAGTGATTTCATTTTGAGCGTATCATGCACCGCATTGCTGATAAGTGCATGTATTGTAAACCTGCTTTAGATGCGCTCAGCCGCCTCGAAGTGCTTTTTCAGAAAGGATCGCGGATCCTATCTAGCATATAAAATTAATAAGTTTATTAAAAAAATAAACTTCTAGAAAAGTCTGTGCACGCTCCCAACATCTATGTCATGAAGTGAACATAGGAGTGTACTAAAGACCAATGCAGTAGACTGAATAAGCTGGCTTTTGCGTCGATTTAAATTTCCTTTGTTAAATTAAATTATTATTATTAAAAATATTAAAAAATCTGACATTATGTTACCTCAGGTGTCCAACCGAATTTGAAACTTTGCTTTATTATGTATAATATATTCATAAGCGTCTTAAAGGCAAAGCGTAGCGCAATTGGAAATCGATATGGGCATCGTTTTCGTGTTCTTACGCTTCGTTAGTACTGGAAAAACAATATAACTTACCATACCATGTAAGTCCTCTACGCATAACTTCTGGTTGATCCAAGATGAAATTCCATTTTTCTAGGAGACACGAAATAACACAAAGCATCTGACCTTCAAACCTAATGGATTTCTTCTTTTTGTGTCATAGATCACATAAGACGTAGTCTGGAAATATCTGATATTCTTTTTGCGTCCGCAGTGCAGATTTGGCGCTCGCTACGCATAGGCATTCTGAAAATGACGACAAAGAAGCCGGCCTCATTACGTGGCACTTCCAATAAACACCGCAGCTCTTCAGTTGCAGTATGTAACTGCGAAGGCAGCAACTTTAACGCTCCTCGCTCCGGAAGCCGTGGATAGAATAGACATCCGTATATTGATGAAGACTTACGCAACGAGTCCATTTAATATACCGTTTATCATGCAATGCTTAGCGGAGAATAATGTAATTCCTTTACGTGGCCAACGACTAATTCTCTTAACGGCTTATACTGAGCTAGCTAAACCGGAATCAATGTACTTACGGAAGCGGTGGCTCCACATTTGGCCTTCTTTCTTGTCACTGCCGCCTCAACCAGCCGGAATCGGACCACGGTACGGCCTTTCAAAACATGCTGATAGTCTTCGATTGCTGAGTAGTCAGTCCATCTAGCTATCCGACTTTTCTTGGATATGCAGTAAATGTAATTATCGATATATTTACAACAGCCATCACGAGGGATATGGTACAGTTTCAGGGCGAGAATTAGTCACTCTCTGGGGTGTAGGTATTGGAGCTGGGAGTCTTTTTGAACGCGCTCAAACTTCTTGCTGTAATTCTGCAGTAGAACAAAATGGCCGCCGACGACACAGTGGTCGAAGCTTGATCTTTCACACAGATGCTTAGTCTGGCTAAGAGGGACAACGTAAATAAACTTTTATCTCTGTCTTTGAAGAACTTCATTGAGCATGCAGATGACTTAGTTATATACGGTCTGATACGGATCTATCCAGCAAGCGCAGAGCTAGTATTGGCAGCAGATCTGACAAAGACGGAAAAGGTGTACCCTGCCAAGTCACCTCTTGCTTATGTTAAATTGTTTCCGTACTCAACAACAAAGGTTTCACCCCACACATGCCAGAAAAATACAAAAAGGCGGTCCGCCTTCTCGTTCTCCACAGCTCTCAGCTTGTTCAACCCGATTATAGCTCAAATCGAAACATATGGGATACGAGTCATGGGATACGGTGGAAAACGTGGGAAAGTTAGATCGTGTTGAAGCCGAGTTCCTCAAGAGAGCTCTGGGATTACCGCTTCGCATACCGTTTAGCCGACACGTCACCGCTGTCCGAGGACTTGCGTTGCCTGTTCAAGCTCCTAGCAATATAAGCTTCCAAGACCAACCTTAGAAACGACGAATGAAAAATTATATTATTATGTGAGAAATTAATCAATGAGGATTTACTCGATTCGGGCACGACGAAGAACAGCGAAATGAACAGAAACGAATCAGTGAACCTGATATATTATGACGCGTATTTTATTTAAGTGATGGTAGTACCGAAGTTCCTTTACACACTGTCTTCATAACTAGTCGAACGTTTAATAAGTTGTAACGTCTTGTAGTGTACATCAGTCTTTGCTGGTTCTGTAAAATTAAATATTCGCACGGATATTTGTCGTCTGTTCCGTTTTTCCGGTAGCGTCGTCTTGCCCTTTAATAACAAGAAAGCAAGTAAAGAGGTAAAAAAAAAAAAACATTTAGGAACTCTTTATGTAAGTTCAGGAGTACGGTTTTTGCATTGTATCTAAATCACATAGTAACTAAAGAGTTAAGATGTTTCTCAAGCCTAACAGACTTATGAAGATCGAGGCTGACCGCGACCCGCCAGAACATATGCTATAAATGAAGGATCAAAGTGGTGTTCGCCTAACTATATGACAATATCATAAGTATAATAAATCATACCCACCTGTACAAACCGACAGATAAGAGCAGTGGAAAATTGCTAAAGAAAGTTAAAATTTTGACGGACATAGACTCGCCGTAGTATATAACCTATATTGCAAAATTCACCATTGTACTTATAAAGAAATGATTTAAAAAAAAAAAAAAAGAAAAGCCAGAATTCCAGACATACCTGCATAGGCAATAATTTACGTACTGCGCACTGCTGCTATTCGTAGCAGCAGTGCTTAAAGGGGCACATAGGAGCATTGAAAACTAAGTAATAGGAATGAAGTGTTACCGAATGAAGTGTTACAATTATAAGTAATAATAATAGTTATAAGTTAACTAAGATCCTATAGGAATTATAAGATAATTCCAATTGACCAAAAGACCAATTGTTTCACTAGGCTTAACACAGTAGTAATAGTAAGCATTGTAAATATTGGTCTGGTAAAAATGTAATAAATTAAAATAACAGCACTTAAAAGCATGATAAAACTTTAATGAGATACTGACATGTTGTTTACTATTATATAAAATACTCAAAATATACTAACTCGGAGCGGAACAAAATATACTAACGGACTCGAGCGAAAAACATTTTTGGATTTAGCGTCTAAGTTCTGTTTCTGACCTGACCGAGCTACTATTGTGAACAAAATTCAACGGTTAGGTTAGGTTAGGTTAGGTAGTTAGTTTCGAAAGAACTATCGAAAGATAGTTTTATGTATGTAACCTAATTGGGAGTTGAAACATATTCTAGATAAGCGTTATTTAATTCATAGTGTATGTTAACATACACTATGTATTCATGGCTTAAGGGAAACTTTTTCAGAGTAAGGTCCCTTTTTCGGCGCTGAGTGCCTCATACTCATCGACCTACATGAAATGCACATGTTCAGTTGGATTACTTGAGCCCTCTTTTAAAAAAGGCAAGGGATTCTAGCGCGTGGCTAGTATGGAACCTTTTGGCTTGAAATCAAACCTAATTTTTGGCCATTACAAACAAGAAAAATAGCCCATATCGTTTTATTAAGAAAAATGTATACATTCTAGATAACTCAGGTTAAATAATAATAATCTACGTAAGCATCGATACATGTAGAGGAACTAAGTCGAAAACTAACATTTTGTAAAATGAAAAATTTTGTGTATTTGGAGATAAGGGGTTGCAGGGCGCTTGAAACAATCCTGCAGGTGTGGGTAAGTCGAGGTACCGGGGAGTCTGCTTTTAAAATTGTAAACGTAAACCACAGCGTTTCATACTTTCAGGGGTAAAACGACTAATTATCTAAATCAACCAAATTAGTTTAAATAGATTCCTTTGAAAAAAAAAACCTGATGGAGTCATTGAATCTTTAAAATTAGAATATGGTAATTTTAATCAGTAAGAAACATTGGTTTAGCCAATTTACGTCGTCCCTAATTAGTAGACAAGCCAAATAGATGCCTTTTTGGTTAGTATGTCCATGCAAAGCTCGTTCCCTGCACGTGAAGTCACCTAAAATCGGAACCACGAGGTGATATCACGCAAGTGATTCAAAAGCGGGCGTACGGCACAACTGGGCCTGGTTCAGTAAGCTTACATTGAGGAGTGCCAGTCTCCAATGTGATGCACTATACTCTATGTTGTTTTTTCCATTGGTTGTTGGCTATCCAGCCTGTTGGATTACATGAGCCTACTATGCCTGTGTCCCGTGGGATCGAAGAGACCTGCAAGATGCGCTACAACTGCCACTACCGTCCGCGTCTTGTTTTAGCGGGCACAGCGGACGCCACTAGCGTGTAAAGTGAAATATGAAATCAAAATTTCGAAAAATCGCATTGGCCAATTGCACGAATCAAAATCATGGTCCTATTACACTGACGCAGAGTACATGCTCGGCGTAATTCTAATATTTTGAATCTGCCTTTAGTTTCTATATAAAATTTAGTATGTTATTTTGGATTTGATTAGAAACAGTAAGAGGAGAAATAAGAACACGTCGTAATTAAATATACTTCGTATATTATTTCTTTATTGTTTTTTTTTTTTTGTATAAAAGCGTTTCTAGTTTTTGTTTATACAGCAACGTTGAGATAAAGCCATCTAAAAATATATATTCCGCTATTAATACTTACAGTGTTTACTTTCTGCAAAATAGTTGTAAAAAAATAGTAGTAAAAACCTGGGATCTACTTTTGTGTGCAAGTTCTATAGACGATTTAATTGTCTACGAACTTCCGTCGGCACAGCTTTTAATTAAGAATTTAAATGCAACCACTCTGTTAAAAGCTACAAACCTACTAAAACATATAAAATAACGTTACTGTCTGTCAGTACCATAATGAATCTTTCATCCATATCAATCCGATCTGTTTCTTTTTATGTGTGAGTCAATTCATGAACTAAGATTGTAGATATTTAAATAACTACGATATGTACTTCACGTCGCTTAAATCATTGCTACTTGGTTGCTACGCCTTCACGTATTTTAACGAGTTTAGACCTACAGGCTTCGTGTTTAGGGTCTCAGTCATATCATTATTGTACATTTAAGGTAACTTTCTATTTCAAGCCAATGGCACATCCTTTCTAAGGAAACGTAAAATCCCACCGAATGTATTCATGGTGTCAGGCTTTAAAAGTATGTTGAACGTTTCCAACATCTGAGCAGACATGTAAGGCCCAATATTAAAGGGTAGCCGCAGTCCCGTCAATTCAGATATAGCGCTGACATACGGGATACTCGAACGAGAAACGAAAACAGTCCTAAAGAGGGACCTAGTTTCAGGGGGAGCTGTTTTTCGGCAACTTTCTCTCTTACTCTTTCTTTCCCGAACCAATTTTTTTCACAAATACTGATTAATACGCACACACACACACATTCGCGTGTTCGCTTTCGTCGGCGCCTCTTCTATTCCCCCTGGTAAGGATTGCGGTTAAAGTTACTGTGTAACTTTAACCGCAATCCTTCAATTAACAAAAAGCTTCTTCGATACAGCTAATTATACGTAGTTCAACATTTTTTGCAATGAAAGGCTTCCTCCTCATTTGATTTGTTTTATTCTTTAAACAGATCTCATCCAACATTTTGTTCTGCCCCTGGGTCCTTGAACAGGCACTGTGTATTGGATAATACCCCATAATTTCCCATCATCTAAGCCGGATTACAAAATACAGCACAATGCTCTTTCAGCCCGTGATTTATTATGGTAACTAATCTAACTGATAGCCATTTAGTCTGATCGCTGCTGATCAATGAAAATTAGACTCAGCCCTCTCTTTTTGGACGCATCAACGAACAACGATATTCCTAGAATGACCTAGAGCTCAATATAGAGTTGAGGCCTAGCGCATATTTACCCGCGTGCTGTCATGTCAAGGATTGTGTAGACCAGTTCTTGGTTAGCTTTGTCGAGAGTGACCGGGAGTTGCGTTGTATCAGACGACAGCTGAGGGACTCATTAGGGGGTTTTCCTTTGCTATTGTTATATAGTTATTTTTCTTGCTAATGTAACTATCGTCTAGCCTATTGCTGCTACTGTTGCTGTGAGCCATAAGCTTTTCGAATATCTGCAGTTTCTATGTTATTGAAATCATTATATAGTAGTCTTTGGCAAATGGTATAGTTGTAGTTGTTCTGTTATTCGGTGCTCTTCAACTCCTATCATACACTCAACGTTGAGTGACGTCTACCTAGCTGATTGTATCTTGTTGGCTATGTTAATTTTTAACTCGATCATCGAGACATTCTGGTGTTGGTAGGTGCATTTTCTTCAGGAGATTCTCTTTTTAGACGAGTTGGTCGAGTTCGGGCTTCCTCGTTGCCTCTTGCGTAGCCATTTTGTGGTACTTAGTCGGATTTAATTGCTCAGTTTGACGCGTCCGCCGAGAATGACTGGATCGATAAAAGCCGGAAACGGAAAAAACAAGCTGACGTTAGTCGATAATTAATTTTTCAACAGAGATCACAAAACTAAATTCAAGTAAATATATAAGTGATATTTTCAACGACATTAAGAACACACAATGCTCCCACCGCGAAAACGATAGGTGATTTATAAAGCCGGATTGAAGACGACCAATTTTCACAGGTATATTTTTAAACGCGCACAATAGAAAATAACATATGTTTGTAACTCACGGAAACACTGGACACCGCATACTATTGACACTTATGCATCATGCGATCGCTTCAGGGTACAAAACTGAACTTTTGAGCCGTGGTACTTATATACTATATCGATATTAGCATTTTAAGGTCACTAGCGAGGACATATAAAGCCCAGTTATCGTAATGGTACTACTTAAATGAATTTAATCCTCTAGTTACTGAACGCCTATCTACACGCGCTTTTATATTTCACATGTCATCGCTTGCCCAGATTTATCCATAACCGTCCATCAGTCGTTTAGTAAGTGGTACTGTTAGTAGTAGTTATCGTGTTATAAAAACAACGTTATTATGGTTCCAACTCGTTTTTTTGCGTTTTCGTTTGCGATTTACATACACGGAAGCAAATGATGGAAGGAATACCAAATAATAAAAAAAGACGCACATAGATGTGCCTTCAATATTTTTCTATCGCGTTTAGCCATTAACAGTAAATAAATGCTTAATGAATCTGAGTATAAGATAGGCACGTATTGTTGAAGGCTCACCGTAAATAACGTAAGCTGTAAGGCTGTCAGTGCGCTTGATTTTAGTAAGCCGACGGTTTGGGTAACCCTAGTAATGGTCTTGTATTTATGTTTGGAGATATAGAAATACGGCTTTTCTCTGAACAAAACGCAGCGAATATTTATATGCATTAATAACTTTGTTTTTTATAGTAGACGAACCTAAGATTCGAATTAAGTATAGCATTTCCTAGTTGTCAATAAGTCGAAGTAGGGGACGTTTGAACCGTTGATTCAGGACATCCAAGAAACAGTCCACTCACTTAACTTATAGACTCTTATACCTATTTTGTGATATTTACCATGATATGCGGGTTCTATTTACAAGGTACAAATACATAATGCAATGGATGCAGTGATCACAACCTTGGGTCAACTTCCACATAGTAACGTGTATATTGATATAAACCTCTTGAAAGGAGTTCGAACCCAAACTCGTTTTAGTATTTTTTTTTTTGTTTCAACAATGCTGTTGTGGTGTATTTGAAAGATACAGATGACGGTGAAGTCGTCGTGATGAAAAATGATTGCCATCCGCATCTTTTATTACAGATTGCTTGAAAACAGGGAGGCTATAAGATCGATGTGGGATAATCCTGGCTTTTCGTCACCTCATAAAGCACGTATTCATCTATGCGTAACTGTTGTCACCTGAATCACATTACGTCAACCATGAAGGCATACTGTCTGACCATTTCAACAGGGCCCAATTTCATAAGATCTTGCTTCATAGAAAGGGTCTTTTCATTCTTAGGAGCAATTTGCTTCACGTAGCTTCGCACCGGCCGCTCCTTGTGTCGGCACGTTCAAAATAGGCCTATTCACGCATTTTACGCAAGCCCCTCTATCGATTTGCAGGTTATTACGGCAATGGCAGCGGCACAGCAGAACTGCACGGTAAATAGCTTATTTTTTGACTGGTATCTTCTCTGGGCACTTTGCTGGATGGCGGGAAACATCTCTATCTGTCTATACAATTTTTTTCTAAAACATTTTGCCCTAAGTCCGTTTGTCTTCACTGCGAATAATCCAACGCTGAGTGCTAAGCCTCAATATATTAGCGCAAAAAAAAGATGCCACTTTGTGAAGCCACTGAATAAAATCCGTCTGAAATCACTGGTTAGGTATGAAGATACATACGGGTATGAAATAAGGGTGCTCTCATGAAAAACTAAATTTACTTACTCCTTGTATCATATACGCGAAAATCTATATTCAAATTTAAAACGTCTTATAGTGCTATTTCAACTACTACGCATAATTACTAACATATATAATCTTTATTATTGGGGACGAAATGGGATTAAAAATACATGGCATTACCTCGTCGTTACGGTGTATTAGGTGTCTGCAATAAAACCTCGAGAAATAAATCATCTGTTGCGAAAAAATTGTACAACTTACTTCATAAGGAATCCGGCTCCAATAATGGAAATGATTATGCCAAGCAGCAGAACAATGATGAGTGCAATCTTAGCGAGTCCGGGGTAGCTAAGAACCTTATGCAAGAAGGCAACGATGCCAGGCCCAGCCTCCACATACTGCGAACGCAATACAATAGAGGGCCAGTGTTACCCAATCACATCGAATGAATGCATGTAGTCAAAAAAGAACGGTGAGTCTTTAGACATTAAAACTGAAGCTAATAAACATCAAAATATGCACAAATTTGATTGTTTTTTCAAAAATTAAAAAAAAAAAAATATTGCTCAGATGACTTAATCATCCCTATTTTCTAAACTAGCGATAGTGGACCGATGCGTTTACTTTTGTGCTGTTTTTTTTGAATAGTTCAGGTACTTACCAGTTCTTGCCAAAATAATGGCATGAGCAGCTCTGGAAGCTTTTCACCGTCCCTGGGAAAAAAAATCATAGTTATTTCTAAAGCAAAAAAAGGAGATACAGTTAAAAGTTTATAGCATTGTAGATCTTAGCTGTAATTATTTAGCTTTGGTTTTTGAATTTTGAACCAAAGTCGATCATCTTTATATTTATGGAGAAAGTAAAAAGCGTTTTCATACACCATGTGTTATTAAACAATTTATTACTTTAACGATCGTCGCGCCATCAGTTGATCCTAGTTTAGTCATTGAACGAACTGGCAAAGGCTACAACGTCGCTCCCTTGACCAGCAATATATTACAAGATGCAGTTTCTCTCTGCCAATTTTTCTAGAACAAAATTTGGTATTTATATTATTTCTTATTTATAATTGTGATCAACAATGATCCAGAACTGCCTAGATGCGTAGAACTATTTTTGTCAAGTCAAGGCGGACCTTCAAATAACAAAAAAATCTCCATTCAATCAGTTTCAGCCTTATATACATCTGTGGAATTATGTTAATATTTATGCGAACACAGGAAGGATGTGGGAGAGAAACGTATCCATGTGAAACTGAATTATCCAACACATTTTTACCTTTAGAAATTTGTTGCCGCAATTTTTTCCTTCTCTCCACTGGAACAAACGTGCATCGTGGCTTAATTCATTAAATTTTCCAGGGATATTGACTGACTAGCTGAAGCTAGGCTTTCCCTTCTTACCAATGACAAATGCTGAGTGCAGACAATTTTCCACTTGATAAAAAGATCGATAGGAAGCGCTCATTATGGAACTGAAATTGCTTTGCTTAACAGGTAGCGTTTGAATGTATTTTCGTAGCCCTAGGAAAAACGCATCTTTTTCATTTGCTTATCAACATTACACAAGCAGACGACAGCCTGTTCTTTACAAAGGATGAATCCTGCCGATTTAACACCAATTACCTGCACTCTATTTTTAAACAAAATATTCAAGCTCCACCTTTTTACCCATTTTCGTGGAGCCTATAGGGCTCATCAATCCTTCTCACTAGAAGACCTACCTGTTTCGGGCTTTTTTCGCATATACTGATAACACCCTTCTTCTGTCCGCTTCTAAAGTGTCTCCTTTAAATTACAAGCATCAGCAAATAAAGGTGCCCTTTGTGATCGTTGGCAACTGGCTTGCGGCTCATTTCTTTGAAACCAATTACCGACAGTCAATGGCAACACTCCTGTCGACGCTACACTGGTCAGCCAAAGTCTTCTCTGGAGAATAGCTGATTGCGTCGATAGTTTCACACACATAGATAAAGGTGCTCGGAGACTGTTTTGACTACAAGTTGATCTGGCAAGGTCAGATGGATCAAGCGCTGAAGATGCTAACACTAGCGAACGCTAAGTTTTTTAAAATGTGTTCTTCGTAAAAAGAATATACAATATTCTCTTTTGGCATTTCTTGCGTACCGTGCTCACTGTGATGTGTTTGAGCCACGGTACCTTTTCTCTCCTACCCCAACTTTTGTAATGCCCCAAGTTGTTTCAATTAGAGGTATTGCAGAACAAAGCCGTTTATCGGGGCTGTACCGCGGCGTCTCATCTATTCGGTCGGTCATTTATAACAGATATAGAGTGCTTATTATGCATCTTAAATAATAAGCGGACACCTGCCGCAGCTGTTACAGGACAACCTTCGAGGCCTGCGGACTCGTCACAGCCATCTCTTTTACCTATCACTTAGTTATTCCTACTGCCGAGAAGAGCCGCACGAAACCGGTCTTGGTTCGTAACAAGCTTGCATACGCAATTAACCACGGCTAGAACTGTGAATTAGCTATAACTATGCCAAACAATAAATTTGAGGGCAGTTTGCTCTTAGGTAATTCACCGAACAGGGCGAAGCAAAACCACTGTATGCGTATTATTAATCGCCGTCATGGTCAATCGAAAAAGCCTCTGGTTGCCATTAATTCCAGTCTCGTCGTACAACAAGGTTTGTTACATCGTTTGACACATCATATAGCGAAAAACTTCAATTAAAATAGCGGTATTTATAATAGCCACCAATCTTACTATGGTACTGACGTGTATGTACATTAACGGCTAATCGAAATAGTTTTTACGCAACTTGAACCTTGGTTTAGCACCAGCATATTATAAACTAGTAACGGTAGATGAATCTACGGACTATACGTACAGGCAGTCGAGCTGAGTTACACGGAAATTGGCCTGAAGCCTGCCGCGGACCGTTACAGTCATGCCGGTCATCTGTGAACAGAAAAATTGTAACCATCGCTTTTCTTCTAGCAAAGCCTCACTTCCATTGATGATGAGCGCATAACAATAACTATGGATAATAAGTCTGATGACGAGCTACACGCCTAACGCCAACTTCACACGAGCAATATTAAACTTGGCAAGGTATTGACAAGGAAACGTCAGCTTTTTCAGATAAAAATGTAGCTAACTAACTAACTTAAAAATGTGAACGCTTACAGGTTCATGATCCATGATAAATGTATGTCGTTCAGGGTCGGCGTTCATTCCTATGACTTTCTCTGAAAAGGACGGGTCGGCGTGCATGAAATGTGGCATTGAGAGTAGAATTGGAGCACCTTGCTTGCACGGTCCTGCTTCAGCCACACCTGTATAATATAAAGCAGACCCCAATGAGAAAAACTTGCACTTCGAAGCTTACCTGCCAAAAGACCCAATGTGAGTAATTTTTCAAAGGTACTATTTATTTGTTTAGGTTTCCTCGGTATAAAACAAGCGAAAAATGAATTTTCAGGTGAAACGCTGTACGTCTATTCTAGGACACTGCCTATGCTGCATAGGTGAGAAGTTGTCTATTATTAAAGCAACTTATTTAAATAAAGAAGGTTGGACTACTGTCCGTAAGTTGAGGAAACGATTGAGGAAAAACGTATTAATTTTTCAATTCACTATTCTTCCATCAAGGAAACTTGCCTGGAAAAAACTGCGTGCCACACCTGATAGTAACTCTCCCACAATTCTAAATAAACCGTTATACTTGTTAGTACCGTACTCATTTTGGCCATCTCTGTTTTTTGGCTGCGTATGATCTTACTAGAGCAGTTAACTGCAACAGTATCCGCTGGTAAGTTCTACCTATTCGTATTCGTTTTCGTTTCTAATTCAATGAACATTGTACTATTCGATGGTGACTGAATGGTAACATGCGCAGACCCTTTTACTTACCAGACGGCTCCCTATATATCTCATCATAGCAAGCATTTGCTGGTTCAGCCTCGCGATTATAAAAATTCTCCTTTCCAAGGATGAAACGACGCAGCCGGATCCCATTGGTATTAACATCTTTCTCATAGCGAATTGTTACCGGACGGCACATATCGGGAATATAGACTTTTTGCTCATTGGACTCATTCATCGGCGGTCGCAGGTACCCGACTGTGTAAAGAATATACCGATTACTAGTGAACGTTTGCAGGTGTTTCGCTTTAGCTACATAAATTTTGCCTATGACAAGTGCTGGTAATGAACGCGAGAAATCAGAGATCAGGATCAAAATCGGCAGGCTCAAAAGACTCGGCTCGCTTGTGTAAAGCGAAAAGGCATTAGGCGACGGGTTTCGATTATACGTAGAAAATGACACATTATTATTTCGGTTATAAACGATATGATAGCTAGATGCTGTTTTAGCTGTTATTAGAATAGTGTACCTTTTTTCAGGCATTTTAATAATACGAGAAACTATTAGATGTTCTGATTGAAAAAGGACGCCAGCACTCTCTAGGGCTATTTACAATAAGAAATGCATGTAAGAAATCAAAAGCATAAGGATGTTTGCTCACAGGTTCCGTCAACGATGTTGCATGTGGTATTTTCGATGTTCGGCCACATGGAAAGCACGCTGCAATAACAAACGATCGTTAATAACTTGTAGTGTTTTTAGCCGTGTAGAAAAATTCAGTGTTTTACTTGTAACCTGCGTAACCCTAACGGCAAAGGAACGGTTGGCATAGATATATCACGGAGGTTCACGCCACAACGGTTCACGTAAACGTTTCGTCTAGCTTTCTTGGCGTGGACTGAGCATTTAACCTTGAACATCTAACCAACCTTGCTTCTAAGGCCAGAACCTAGATCATAACTGGATGCTTGCCTGCTTGCTTCCACAACTTTCCGATAAACATAAACAATAAGTTCATATGACTCCTTACGAGTAACGACGACAGCAAATAGATAGATAGATAGATTTAGTTTCCACGTTTTTATCTGTGCGTAGATTACCTTCCTGCTTTGGATGTGGATATATGTTCTTCTGTTAGAAAAACTCAAACATCAAAATGTATTTTCTCAAAAAGTAAACTCACTGTTTGTGGTTAATGGAGTAAATGCGATTGAGATCCATGACTCCCGTTCCGCCAGTGAACATGTTGAATGTCGTTGGATCATGTTTCTGTGAAAACGACGCGACACGTTATGCATGGCATAGAACAGTTGACCGACGCAACGATTGCAAACGCGGACACGCATCGGCCTAATTTGGATTGTTGTATCAATCATGATTGCAATAGGAAATCATTGAAAGATTCATGTGATGACAATAACGAGCTCTTTCGATTTTCAAGATAATAAAACAGATTGATTTCAGGATATAACTAGTACATAATTATTTTAAACGAGAATTAACACTCACGTCAACACCGAATCCAAACTTTCCTTTTTTGTTATCCTTGGAGTTGAGCGCAAAAATTGCCTCCAGAAAACCTTCCTTTATCTTTGACAGTGCTACTAAGTTGTTGTACACTCCGTCGTAAGTTAGCTCAGCAACGGAATAGTTTGCAGTCAGTTGCTGATCTGCAATTGCGGCTTTAATAACCGGATCCACCGCTAGTCGGGCGAAGTAGCCTAAAGGCTTGAGTCTCTGAAGGGCCGACTGCAGAAATCCGTAAATACGCACAAGGTGAAACATGACGAAAACCTTTAGGTCTGTGCTATAATCTATCGATATATCTACTTATCTGAATAGTGACTGACTGCTCGGACCGGTGATATTTGATCAAAAGTAGGCACTGCTGTCGTGCATTTAAGAAGCACGTTTACAGTGGCATTGCCGTAGCCTCCTTTTAAAGTTAACGGTTACGACCAATCGCCGATGAATAGCTATTTTCTCGGCATAAAATAGTTTTGTCACTGGTTGTAACCCATCAGAATTGTAAATAGAAATTTCGTTTTGCTCTAACGTTACTCGCCAAAACCTCCTTCTTGAGCCGTTGCGACAAGCTGTAAGCCACGCCAGAGCTACAGTTAATTAAAACTAATACAATTTCTGTTCCAGTCCACTTTAACAATATCCTTCTTCGAACTGGACTATTCTATGATGCGGAAAAATCTGCCTACCATATACCAAACAGTAGATGTACACCTGTTTTTATGTCCTCGTTCCTTTTCTACCCCATTTCCCAGGTTCATTAATATGCGACGGGCGTGGATTGCGAGACTTTGCTAAAAGGTAGGTTTACGATGCGTACGTCGGGGGTATCAATCGCCGTCAAGTGAATGCTGTTGTCAAGATCATGCATTTTCCTAACTATGGTTGTTTTAGTGGCATGGGAAGGCGATAGCAGGCCTTATTTTCTCCACCTGTTTCAACGTGCGATGTATTATTCTAATTTACATAAAAGTAAGCTCAATTGCGACAAGTTACGCCGTCGTATATAACTGTCCCGGACAGGAAAGCCGTCCAATCAGAAGAGCAAGCTCAAAGGGCTTCCGTACGAAGGTCGTGGGTCAAGTCAGGGTAGAGGCGTGATCGAAACCTATTTGTAATAATCTACATTATGTCGAAAGTTCTTTGCTTTAATCGAGCTCTGTTTAAATGTAAGCTACGACGTTTAGCTTCTATTTTGTGCAATCAGTATGACGTACTTGTTCTATCGAATTGATTACGTACTCAGTCAGCGCATGCCTAATAGTGTTACTTGGTGATTAGAAAACGTGCCTGTAACAGCCTGCTAGTAGATGAATTAAGGCTAACTTTCAACTTACCATGACAGGAACGTTAATCATTGTTATACGTGTGGTATTCGGGAGAACGGAATTTTCCGCGTCAAACTCAAACTCCCGGTGTTCTTCAAATGTTACTGTTTTATTATCGAGAAATTCGATATTTATTTTCTTCAGGATTGTTCTGAAATTCGTAGTAATTACGTCAGAGATTGTTACACGTTTATTTCTAATGTATCCGTTATCGCCGGCACAGGTACGATTTGTGGGAACGAAGTTAGTTACATTACCATCACCTAATCGTCGTACAGCATTTTACCATTGGTTGAAAAAAAAAATCATCCACAAATTTGGGTGCAATAAGAATATGCTGTTATATTTAGTTAGTGGACGTATTTAGTTTAGTTTAATGAAAAAAAAAATAGTCGTCGTCTTTGAAAGGACGAGTTTTCGACATCTGAACTGTCTCATAGATATCTATTCAGTGCATCTAGATAGCGTTGACTTACTTATACCAGAAAGGTCCGACTTCTTGCAGAATGGGTTGTGTACCCTGCATAAACTCTTCGGGATTGGTGAGATTGAAAAAGTACCAGGCTGTTTTTGTATCCAAATGGTCGGAAACGTCTCGCCATATGGGAAAGCCTTGAGCTGTCGACGACAAGACAACCTTTCTACTGAGGATAAATTGAAACGTTGCCGTGAAGTTGATAAGTACCGCCGCCCCCAACACAACTAAGAATGCACCAACGACGACGCAGATCACCCCTAATAATGAAAGGAAAACGCAGTCCTGCTGTTAATGCTAAGACAGTTCGACCAATTGAGATTTGGTTGTAGCTGGCTAGCCTAAATAACTTAGATGCCGTTATATATATATATATATACTGCACCTAGTTTCCAGCTCGTAATATGAAGCATTATAATCAAACTTGCTCAAGAAATTAACACGAGCCAAAAAAAGCTCAGATTAATTTCCGTGCGAACATCAACTAACTAACTAACTAACTAATTAACCCTAATTTCACTCGGCCGATACTGTAAAAATTATAGTATAGTTTCAATGTATCTTTGAATTGTAATTAGAAGGACAAGAGAACCTTACAATATACTTAAAGAGAACTTTTTCGATTTTTAAGATAATAATATAGAGATTATATGGTATTGAAATATACATTTGTGTAAGTCTAATTTTGCTAAATTCGTATTTTCTCTTCACCGAAGAGCGTCGACCATTTAAATGCCCGTCAGAGTCAGTTGATTTCATAACGGGATTTATGGTAACATGTAATAGAGGTTACGTGTTAGGGGCCGAAAAACGATAGACACCCCAAATGACACAGAGCGCTGCGTCAACTCGATATATAATCAAGATGAAATAATGTATTGTAATGATTTATTTTATTAAGGAGTATGACATGGAAATAAGGTAGGATTACAGACGTGCCAGGTTCCGGCCTAATTGAGGTACAATGGAAAGGCCTTCTTCTAGGCTACCTATCAGCCAATATTCTACTTTGTTATACGCAGCGTTGTCAAAGATGGAAATGCTTGCTTTCCTCCGAAACCAGTACATTCGATAGGAAGTTCCTCGATGGAAAATGCATCGATGTAGTCTATTTATGAGTTTATGGGATCGTATCATAGTAACGACCTTCTAACGGTGGTAGATGCGCCTTTGCTTTGAGTGTATGTAGCAATATCTTGCGTACCAAGTTACCACTTACTCCGTATTCATTCGTTCATTTATCTTGTAGCGCTTATTTATTCATTGTCGGAATGAAGTCTTGTCATTTTGAAAATGGACCATGTATGAGCTCTTTTATATACGATATATTTAATATCTATTATCCTGATGTTATTACTTAGATTTGAGTGTAATTCTTACGGTATACTGTTTTAATTACTGTAAAATGACTTTAATTATTGTAACTTAGACGGAAGTTTACCTGTGTAAGCCTTCTTGGCAACTAAATCATACTTTTGATTAATTAATTCTATGTATTTAAAGCGGTGCGGAGGTCAGAAAATGTGTATTTGGTTGTATTGTAGTAGAGTTTATATAT